TGACCTGTGTTGTTCAAAAAGAGAAGTGTGCCTCACTAATGCTTATCTTCAAAGTGGGTCAATGAACTTTGTTTTAGGACAGAGTTCACAGTGAACAGGAGCATGTAGTCATCCTGGGGAAGAAAAAAATATGCCTTTTGAAGTTTTGCCGATCTTGTTTTTTTATCCTTCAGTGCATTTGAGTCACTGTGTTTTGAGAAGTGTAGCCAGCCAATGTCACAGCAATGCAAAAGCATTAGCTCATGAATATTAATTAGGTTAAAGTTGCATGGTAACTTTCCATTGTGAAGCAATATCAGAAACTTCATGCTCAAATATGACATTGAACAAGTTTGGATAAGCTGTCGTGTGATGTTTTTCATATTGGTCTGAAGGTCAAATTTAGCAGAACATGAATGTCAACAAACAAAATTAAGCAAATTAATTGCACTAAGTGAATTTTGTGTGCCATAATTCTGTTTGTTCAATTCAAGAGCAAACATGTGTTTTATTTGATAACATCATACTTACATCTGGCTCAGTATTTTGTGGGTCAGTGGATAAATGCTTGCATCAAATGAGCAAAAGAAAAATAGTTATGTGTGTTTGCGAGAGAACATCTGTGCTTTATAAAATCCGCTGCTGATGACAACAACAGCGAACACTCAGAAAAACAATAAAAAATACAAATTTCAATACATCGCAGAGAAACTGAAGACTCTATTATCTACTGCATTTTCCCACTTTTAAACAGGAAAAAACCTTCATAAAGTGCCACCATATGCTTCAACATAATCTCTGAACATATCAAAGAATATGAACATTTCAGCCTCTAAAACTGCAGTCTTCCCCAAAGACCTTTAATCATAATGAACCCAAGTGTAAATCCATTGTTTGAATTTAATCACTTGAACTGAGACACAGCCTCTCCTCTCAAATTAACATGCTTGCTTGCTAATTATTAATACTTCCCTAGTAGGCTAGTCACTCATCATGGGGTCAATAACCCATGACAGTGGTATTTATTTATGCTTGGCATTTCAGTGGCACTCACTAACAGATGCATCCGTGGGCCTGATGACTCCCACGCAGAGACAATTACCGCGGTGTCACTGTAAGCAGGGGATCACGAATCTACACGTGAGTGGATTGAAGCTGAAGGACGGTGTTAAGGTTGAGTGGAATCTGGGGAGCGTTATGAAGAGGCTGTTAGTCAGGCCAGTAGGGTTAAAGGAAGAACTATTGGAGGGAAGTGTCCGGTCGAGTTCTTCCTCTACAATCATTCATACTTTAAAGGGATACATCACCCAGAAAATTCACCCAGTAAATTCTTCTTTAAATCTAGATTAAAGACCCATCTCTTTAACCTGGTTTACATATAATACACTATCGCATTTCTATACTTTAAATCCGTTAAAGGATTGTTAGGCTGCATTAATTAGGTCAACCGGAACTGGGAACACTTCCAATAACACCCGATATACTTGTTACATCGTTAGAAGAATGGCATCTACGCTAATATTAGTGTTTCATTCTTTTTCCGAGGTCACCGTATTCACCCGGATCCAGTCCGCATCCAGCCCAGATGGTGGATCAGCACCTAGAGATAACCTCGACTGCCCTGAAATGTCAGCGGAGACCAGGACTTATAGATGTGCCCCAGAGACTGATCCACTCCGAAGACCTCGTCTCCTAGACAGCCACCGGGACAAGACCACGGGAACCAGATGAGTCCTCTGCACAATCTGACTCTGCTGCAGCCTAGATTTAAACTGCTGGTTTTGTCTGGCCAGAGGAGAAAGACACTATTTTGACACACTATTTCCCCATTTAATACTGTAAAGCTGGTTTGACACAATTTGCATTGTAAAAAGCGCTATATAAATAATGGTGACTTGACTTGACCAGAAATAAAACTTATGTCCTTATTTACTCGTTCCAGACCTGTGTGCTGTTCAAAAGGAGAACATTTGAAGAATCATAAAGGGATAGTTCACCCAGAAATGGAAATTATATCATAAATTACTCACCCTCATGTCATTCCAAACCCGTAGGACCTTCGTTCATTTTCGGAACACAAATTAAGATATTTTTGATGAAATGATTTTGATAAAATAGAATTTGATCAAAAGTGACAGTAAATACACTAGCTAATATATATATATATATATATATATATATATATATATATATATTTATGAATGTCTTTACTGTCACTTTTGATCAAATTCTTGTCTTTGCTAAATAAAGGTATTGATTCCTTAAATTGTTTTTTTTTGTAAATACAGACCCCAAACTAAAGTGTATACACACACTCAAACTATTCATTTAAAGGCTCCTGTCACTTAGCTTTTGTGCAGAAAAAAAACACTGTATTTAGCTTCAGTGTCCTGTTGTGCTACTTGAACAACCTTTGAAGAAACAATACTGCTAATGGGATTTCATCATTTCATTGTGATTAAGCGTATACAATGCAATTCCTCTGTGTGAGGCGTTGAGTGTAATGATGGACCTCCCAGCAATCCTTCACACACAAAAATAAATCACACAGCAGAGGGGAGCAGATTTCCACAGATGCAGCACAGCAGTGGATCTCATTCAAGGCGTGCTTGTCGCATGTTGACTTTGTGATGGTGTGATGGTGCTTTTCCTAATCTTTAGGTTGAAGAACATGATGTTTACATGCAGAAGACATTATAAGATTATGCATGTGCCATCACATTGTATAGATGGCGATTGAGTTACAGCACTGCCTGCGTTTTCTTTAAGTCTCTAAATGGAGAGTTTCTTTGTATGTATCATTCATAAACATGATCATATTTTAAAATGGAGACCAATCAGATTCATTAGCGCTTTAGTGTTACAGAACAAGGACTATATCTCAGTATTATAAAGTTTGAGTCAAAAGTCTAATTACACAAGTGTGTTTTCTCTTCTAAAATAAAAAATAAAAACTCTAGTAGGCCTATCTTAGTACTGTATGTCTGATAAAGCTGTTGGATAAACCCACATTGGCATTTAAATAAGTCAGCTATATCATTTACAAACATTGAGTTCTCAGGACAAGGGTATTTTTCATAAATGTCAGGTGGTTACATACTTGTTTTAATTTAATACAGTGTAATATTTACAGTAACAGTTACTGTTAGCCAAAAAAGGGTTTGATATTTTGTTGGCTTTTACATTCATGCTCTTTCTTCAACTGTATTGTTTCAGAATTGTTTAATGTTGCTGAAAAACACATGCTGATGCTGTTTAATGGCAAGTTCCACTGTGACAACTTACCCCATATAATGTGACAACATGCACCGTTATTGGGGCACGTTGTCACAAAAGGTTAATGTGTGTTCAGTGAACTGTCTTTTCCTTGGGCAATATTGTTGGAAATGTTCAATATATTTTATGTAGCCAAATCTCAGTGTGCTCCTTTATGTGAATTAACTTTCAAATTAACTGTGAATTAACGTATCTTAAGAAATATTGACTGGATATATTGAAAATAAATATTGACTGGTGGCCCCCAATACCACCAACACTTGTGAAGTGGAGAAATCAAAGTAAAATAATCATTAGTAAAAAGCGTGACTGGTCTAGCATCATTCGTCTTTATACAGTTTAAAGTAAACAGATATTGCAATGGAATACTGGCTGAAGTAATATACATAAAATGTAATGTAATTTTTGTATGTGCAGAGGGTTGGACCGGACGTTACTTTTACATAAAACTTGCATTAGTCGTACGTAAATCTCACTCTATTGACTGTAATTAACGCTGTCATTCAGTTATTGTATAATGCAGTTAGCAGTGGTCACTGGGCTGAGTGTTGACGTCAGGCTCCGCAGCTTTACTTTGAGCACTTCACTGTGTTCGTGCAATGAAACTCATGTGTGTCCCTCACCACAGACCAGTCACGCCAAATCTGAAACGCAGATTGATAGTCGCAGAAGGTTTCATCTCGCATCAATCCATCCAGGATTGGATTACGTGTTAAATCCTCTGCACTGGGATTCAGTTTTGTTCCTCTGAAGATGCTCGCTTGTGGATCGCAGACTGGGGACTTTCGCGGAATTAAACGAGCTAAAGGTAAAACACTTTTATCATAAATTACTCACCCTCATGTCATTCCAAACCCGTAGGACCTTCGTTCATTTTCGGAACACAAATTAAGATATTTTTGATGAAATGATTTTGATAAAATAACAACATTATTTAAAAATTCTTCTCCTCCATGTCACCCTAGGGTGCCATTTTGAAGAATACCACAACGCATGTGCACACTTTCCTCTGAATATAGACAAGGCACAGCGCATGCGTGTTCTACGTCAGCAGCATCACGTGCACGCATTGTTTACGTGCAGGAAAAGGACTCGCATGTGTCGTGTTGTTCTCCAAAATGGAGCCCTAGGGTGACATGGAGGAGAAGAGTTGTTGAATAAAGTTATTATTTTAGTTTTCTTTGCTCACAAAAAGTTTTCTCGTAGTTTTATAAAATTACAGTTAAAGTACTGATGTTACATGGACCATTTTAACGATGTTCTTACTACCTTTCTGGACCTTGACCATGGTAGTACCCTTGCTGTCTGAGGGTCAGAGAGCTCTCGGATTTCATCAAAAATATCTCAAATTAACTGTGAATTAACGTATCTTAAGAAATATTGACTGGATATATTGAAAATAAATATTGACTGGTGGCCCCCAATACCACCAACACTTGTGAAGTGGAGAAATCAAAGTAAAATAATCATTAGTAAAAAGCGTGACTGGTCTAGCATCATTCGTCTTTATACAGTTTAAAGTAAACAGATATTGCAATGGAATACTGGCTGAAGTAATATACATAAAATGTAATGTAATTTTTGTATGTGCAGAGGGTTGGACCGGACGTTACTTTTACATAAAACTTGCATTAGTCGTACGTAAATCTCACTCTATTGACTGTAATTAACGCTGTCATTCAGTTATTGTATAATGCAGTTAGCAGTGGTCACTGGGCTGAGTGTTGACGTCAGGCTCCGCAGCTTTACTTTGAGCACTTCACTGTGTTCGTGCAATGAAACTCATGTGTGTCCCTCACCACAGACCAGTCACGCCAAATCTGAAACGCAGATTGATAGTCGCAGAAGGTTTCATCTCGCATCAATCCATCCAGGATTGGATTACGTGTTAAATCCTCTGCACTGGGATTCAGTTTTGTTCCTCTGAAGATGCTCGCTTGTGGATCGCAGACTGGGGACTTTCGCGGAATTAAACGAGCTAAAGGTAAAACACTTTTGATTTATTTATGAAGTGTAACCTTTGCGACAGGTTTAAGTCGCCCCCCCCCAGTTGAATAGTGAATCTATGTTGCATCTTTTTTCGTGTTTAAGTGTAAAAGGGAAGTTAAGTAAAAGCGACATTATTCTGGGGATCATAATAGGTTATCCATACGGATTTGGACGTATTTTGGTGGAGAAAATAAGCAACAAAGTAAATCTTTTGGATTATACAGGTTACTCTTGCGAAAGACAACACTTAAAGACAAGTTGTCCGATTGCTTAACCTCAATCTTATCAATGCAGGAGTTTGTGAGGACAAAAACAGGACGATATATATGTAAACATAGCCTATGTCATATGTATGCTTACAAAGGCAAATAGTAGCAAGTCTATTTTGTGTTCTGCATTTAAATTTACGCCAAATGAAAGTAACATTAACATTTTGTTTTATATTTGATTATAGAAAGAGCATAGTTTAAACACTAATATTATCTTGTAGTGATTTCCACAGTTTAAACTGAGTCCTGTCAGTTCTCCTTTCTCTCCCCGCGCGCGTGGCACCAGAACTGACAGGACTCACTGACAAGGCAGTTGTTGACATTTTATGTATCTAGTGAGTCAGATAATAGCATATTTGCTTATTGTAACATTTAGGGAATAGTGTAATGTTTCTTTCGTTACCTTTTTAACGCTGGGCAGTATTCCTAGATTTTAGGAAATATCCAGCAAAGAAGTGAAGTGCGAGCTGGAAAAACTGAGGTATTCCTTTGTCGTTCAAATGTACTCATTTACTCGCATATGCTTGCTTATTGTAACCTGCATTCTAGCTGTTCGGAACCTAATCGGAAACGGTAGGTTGTCAGTCAACACAGTAGTTTTTACAGTTGTGTTTATAGTTGGTTATGTTGGTGTTTGTTGTTGATGATTTCTTCTGTCACTTGTTATTTTGGTCACGCTGACTTCACACAACTGGATTTTTTTATATATTTATTTATATGAACTGTCTAAAACATAAGTGTTTATCACTCCTTCATATGTCTGATTGCAACAAATTAAATGATACACCATTATTTAGACTAAAATATAGCCTATATGGTTCAGTGGCAGGAAATCACATCTGAAGTGATGTTACTTTTAGAAGACAGTTCTTTTAACAAGACGATGAATAATTTACATTTAAGACAGTTTTGGCTTTCATATATATTTTTTTTTTCGGTGAATTAAAATAGTTACAAAAGAAGTCAAAGCCTCAAGTTTTGCATGTCACCCATCAAAGCACAAGACTCCACAAGCCTTCAGATTGTTACCCTTAAATATGAATTAGCTTTTTGGAACATTATAAACAGTGTGAAATGGACTGAAGGACAGTTCAAATCTACCAATTCAAAACGTTTGTTTCCTGTGTACACACTGCCGCTCAGTGTCTGGTAGCAGTGCACAATTACAGCTTTGGACGCCTTCTCAAAAATTGGCTGGACCACAGAGCGCCAATTTCATAATTTAAAATTTTTGCATTTGTGCTGTTGCAACATTTTATTTTTTGTTCTTGATTTTATTTTTTATTTAGCCTTTTGCTCATCCATTTAGAATGATGTGTTCTGTGTGCAACACCTGCACATTGTCCTACAAGTAATGCAGTCACTTTGCTCCAAAACAACTCTGAACCCACTTTCATTGTGCTTTTCAATGTACTGTATGAAGTCCCACAAAGAAAAGATGTCAGCATCCAGTTTGAGTTTTTTTTGGGCTGCATGCGCCAACCAAGCAACTGCCCTTAAGATGAATGGGAATGCTAATGGATATCTCTCTCCAGGTGTTATAGACTTTTTTGATCAAAATCAGCTTAATTGAGCGGATTTCCAGCCAAGCTGGCAACACTCGTTGCTTTTACGTCAGAGATGTGTATCTGGACTCAACATCTGCTTTGTCCTGGTACCTAAAAAAACTCAAACCTAAAAGAACACATGCTTACTGTGTTTGCAGTGCAAACATAAACCCATACAGATTGTTTTAATGCTTGAAGAGACCTGAAGTGGCTGTCAACCATCTGATGCATTCAGACATTTACAGGTTCTTCAGTTGGCTACAGCATCACATAGAAGCTGTTACAAGACAAGATAGTATTTCATAACAAGCAATTAAGTACTAGAGAAAAGGTCTTTCGGTTCACAGGGTATAAACCTCAAGGCATACTATACTAGAATAATTTTCTGTAATTTACATCTTATTTAAATTCACATGCTGTGACAGTATGTGACACAATGATTTCGTGTTGTTTCACTTATTTTCCCTTCTCATTGAAATCCAGACCTCAACATAGCCCTGAGGCGCACAGGCCTCGTCTGTCATGGATTTTGCTTATTATAGACCTTCAAGACAAGTTATATCTTGCATTTGCATCACTTTTTGTCAGTTGAACATGAAGGCTGAGTCTCCAATGTGGTATAATGATGGTAATGTGTGTAACTGGGGCCTTTCAGTTGTCCTTTATATGGTCATAAACTTCTCCACATGCCCTTATGGCATCATCCTTTTTCATGGGCATAGAAGCCATTTATATTTTCTTTGATTTTGCCTAATTTAGCGAACATTCATGTTTGGAGAGAACACGCACACAAAAATTAACAAATGTGTTTTATCTTTTCACGCCCAAACAAGTTCCAAAAGCCAAATGTAAACCAGGGCTTCAGATTAAGACATGTGAGCAATGGCACTAGTGCAACCAAGTCCTACAGACAGTAGCACTTAAGAAAAGTGCACTTTAGACTTGAGAAAAAACGCAAGTAAACAAACCCACCATGCACATAATTTGTTCGGTGCTGTACTGTTAATTTTGGGTTGCAATTGGTGTCCTACTTGAGTGTGTTTCACATAAGGCAGTGCTAATCGTTGGGCACACAAAAAGTTAGTTGCACCAACATGAAAATTGGTTACATTTTGTGCACTCAAATATTTAGGCCTAAATTTAAGAATCATGTATTTGGATTGCATATTGCATTTCCATCCATTTGGATTACACAGTTTTAACATAAATTAATAAACTTGTAATGCATATTCTCAGTCACACATAAATGAAACATAAGAAACAGGTAAGATTTCTGCGTTCAAAAAAGCCATGGCAAAGTTTATTATTAACTATTTGATATTAACTGTTTGATTTAAATGATTATAATTTCAAAATGCATTTATGCTGATTGCTTAGAATCAGCATTTTCATACAATTGTTCAAACAATTACATGTATTCAGCTAAAAAGTATGAACATAGTTAAAATATGGCTAGCTGTATAGCCAGCAATATACAGTTAGTTAAAATGTATGAGACTAAAAGAAATGATAATTATGTAAACCTGGTCATTGTGTATTGAAAATGTATTCATTTTGTTAGTACTAATTTATGTATGACTGACAAACATGCATCATATTAAGTTTATTAGCTTCATTATGTTACAAGTGTTTCATTTATTTGGATTACAATTTTATGCAAATACTTTCAAATGCACAAATCTTAAATTTAGGCCTAAACATATATTTTTAATATTTTTTTATTTTATTTTATTAATCATTTATTAACTCTGTGTGTAATGGTCGTTTAATAACAGTTCAAGGTAATTGTGGTGTGAAGCTGCACTGTGGGGTGTCAGAAAAAAACAATTTATACAAAATCTCAGCACTGGTACACCTTTGTACCTTCCTAAATGCTTTTTTTTTAAGGCCTTTATGGTTTTTAGACTTTGCTTGACTTGACTTTGCTTTGCTGTATTCAGCCTTTATTCGGACTCTTAAGTAGTGACTTAACAGTCTGCATGGATGTGAACAAGAATCATTTATTTATAAGATTTGTTCACTACCAGTGTGAAGGAATGGATGCAAAGTGCTTGGGGGAACCACACTGCTTGGGGGAACTATAAAAATACTTCATGCTTTAATCAGTATCCATGCCTCTCTTCCTGGAGTTTAGATGCCATGGGCCGATATATCACATTGTGAGGTGGGAAGCATCACATTAAGTCTGTAATTTGTGTGTTTTTACCATAGTGGTGTTTATTGTTGTTTTTCACCCTTGTGAATGCAGTTTTCTCATTGCTCCCAGTCTGTGCCTAATATCAAGGATATATTTAGCACAACAGTTTACTCAGCTTCATGTACTACTGTATTAAAAATGGAATAAGTTCTCCCATATAAGGCAGCAAAGAGGATGTTTTAAAAAGATCTTTCCCTGTCTGCTGAATCATAGGACCAAATCAGGTGACAGAGCAAAGGGTACGCGTAAGAGGGGAAGATTGCATCCTCTGTACCATGCTTTTTGTCCAGACTCTGCACATTTTCCATTACAGTATGTCAAACAGAAAGAGCATTTGAGGCAAAGAAAAATGTCATAGTTGTATGTGCTTTGTTCATATTGCACCTAGTTCCGATTTGCTTTTCAGATCTGATCTTTTGGGATGACTGTCCAAAATAAAATCATATCTGTTTGTTCAGACAGTGTAGTCAGTATTTGTATTATGCTGACTTGTACATCAGTACAATGCCAAGAGACATGAGAGAGTAGCTGTCTGTGTGGAAAGAGAACAGAAACGTTCATCACGAGATCTTGCTCTGGTGCTAAAGTGTATTAAATAATTTACTTTTCTGATCTGACCTTTAGAATGAAATTCTTTCTACACTCCAATTGTAATAAGATTTCAATTCACATACTAGTTTGGATTTGTTTCTAAAAATGTATATTTAAATGGATGTGAATAAGAGTCAGATATGACACACACATAAATTAATTGAAACAAAAATGTTCTTTTTTTCTAAACAAAGGCTAAAAATAGACTGTCCACATTTATACATGACTCAGTACTTAGTCTCACATTAAAAAAGTGCATGTGTCAAGATTTCTGCAAAATGATATGTTGCTTCTTGCACATTTCACGACACTTTAAAAGCTAAAAGCAGGTTCAGTTTATCCAAAACTGTTGAACGTGAATCTGGCAATGTTTTATTACCTTAGTTGTTGT